CTCCCCGTCGCGAGGGACGATATTGGCGTTCGATTACCCGACTACGTCGGATGCTCGACGGCCGATCCGGGGAATGCAACATCCGTCGAGCACCGCGAGCGTTTAACCCGATCGCCTACGCACCGGCCGGAGGTGGATAAGCGCGCGGATTATCTAGAGCACCGCGCGCAACACCTCTCCCGCTTAAATATACACTGAGAAACCCATTTGGTTGGAAGTATTCTCGAACAAAATTCTACGAAATTCTTGTCCACGTCCTACGCGGTATTGTTACAACTAATCAGAATGCATTGATACTTAATAGTAACCGGATGAGTATCTAGGAAAACTGCATACATTTCTACCAGGGTAGTAGACGATGTTCGTATAGTGTCCCGACGGGGTTTAATATTTTACAGCCAAGAAAGATGGGTATGTCGGCTTGCCGTTCCTATGTCAGTTTTAGTGCTTTTCCTCTATACAACGACCTGATAATAAGTGCGTAATATAATAACACGCGACCGCCTCGCTCTCGCGTTTGTTTCTCCGCAGTTTTGGTCCGCCTACGTTCCTTGCGGCGCCGCTCAGTTAAACGCAGTTCAACTTTCGCTGGAACAAATCGACGTGATTCGTCGACTCGCCGAAATGAATGCTCAACACTTAACCCTGGTTACCTCCGTCAAAGGTGAGTACGTACATCAACAACGACCCGCATCCAACGCGTTCTCTCACCCCTGGATCCTCCCTTCCTTTTATACGGCAGTTATCGGTCGACCGCGCACTTCTTTTTAGTATCGTAGACATTAACGCTTTCTTTCTCGTTCTTCTCTCCCCCTCCAAAGAAATTACGATTCTATCCTACAGACGAATTAGAGTCGCCCGCGTATTAATTTTTTATCAAGAGAACTATAGGTGCACATTTATCTCTCGTTCCCCCCCCGTCTATCGATCGCGCAAACGACGAGGGAACGTTTTTTTTTTTTAGATTTGCTTTCTTATAAACTGCTTCCGGCGCGAGGATGCACAGTATAATTACATATTCAGCATCTGATAAGTAACTTTTCGTAATATCACGATGGACAATGCGCGGCACCTGTGTCGAGTAAGCACGAATAGGATAACAGGGATCACTTGCGAAACGGACGGAAACTTCAGCGATGCCAAAACGCGTCCAATGAATTTGGCCCGAGGTATTATGAGAAATCTCCATTGTCTTCCGGCAATTCGGTTAATACGGAGTGAACCTCCTTGTAACCGAAAGAATTCCCCTGACCGTCGCCGCGCAAGCGTCGCGTTATTAAATGTAACACGCTAACCACGCCGGCAACAATAGATATGGAAGCGACGGTTCTTAGAGAAAGTTTCTCATCGGGACGATCCGAGGAGGATAAAGGGGACCCCTAGCTATTAATTGCTCGACTTCTCTAAAGTTGAAGAGGAAAGTCGTTATTGGATTCGACTCGATGGCATAACTTTGTATTGCGGAAGATTTACCGCCAGTGGACAAAAGTATTAAGCTATCGGGACGCCATAATCGACGGCGGTTCTTGCTGATTCACGAGACAACGGAGAGATCCGACTTCTATATCCGATGTGAAGAGGATATTAAAAGTCCCGACTTCGCCGATCCTCCCTCCGCAAGGCGGAGGATAATGCTAGTCGGATCTCGAACAGGCCCCTATTCCTTCGTAATCCGAACTAATCTCCGACAAAATAGACCGGTATTTCGTTGCTTTTTATTATTTCAGTATTAACGCGACAACGCCTAGAGCTACGATCAATTTCCCGCCCGTATCTGGACTGTGTGTGCATGTATGTGTAAAAGAACGCAGTTTATTACGGTTACGAGCACACTCGTGCCGAATTTGGAAAAATATTTGTCAGGATTCACCGCACCAAAAGTTCGTGCTTCGATGTAGAATCGCGAAAGGTCGAATGAGAGTTTTTTATTGCACGAACGTCCATTAGCGCTGATGACTTTTGAGCCATCTCTATTTTTTGAAGAGGACTGATTTGCCGTTAAAAATTGTTGAATCGACATATCGTCCGTTAACGAGGATTTGCGAAATGTCGGTGAAATCAATGGATAATAATGGAGCATAAATTGCGTCGATATACGCAAATACGCAACAGAGCTATTTACAGGATACATTCGCGGGAAGAGGGGAAACAATACCGGCGTTGAAATAAGGGACAAACTGCGCATGCAGGCCGAAAGAAGAGAAGACGCCGGAGCGAGGGAGGATAGTTGTGAAGATACACGCGAAAGCGTGTGAGAGTTTTCGCGACAAGTAACTCACTTCAGAAACCCCGCTGCCATTTTCATAAGCTCGTTGAAATCAAATCGAGGTCACGCGCGAGAAAAAGATAAGAATATTACATTCTGCGCGAGATGCAAACCTCGCATAAATAAACGATGCAGAAGAACCGTACTGAAGAAAATCCCGCAATTTCCCGACGAATCGTGCACGGTTGAGTCTGTATTAACGAAAATTTTACGAGAGATCCGATTACGAAGTTATTTAACAGAAAAAAGTTACACGAAACTCGACGAATTAAACGTTAGCGAATAAACGACAAAATCGTACATTTATCGCAGATTTTATTCACAGTAAATTATTTAAATGTAACTTTTCTCGGAAAAAAACTCGAAAGAAAATACACGCGATATTTAACATTAAACATTGAAATATTTTGACGAGAGAAAGCGATAATAAAGAGAGAGAGAGAGAGAGAGAGAGAGAGAGAGAGAGAGAGAGAGAGAGAGAGAGCTCCAGTTAATTTCTCGGTGAAGAAAAATCGACATCGTGTTTTGGCGGGTTCTCGATATTTCGTCTGAAGAAGCAAAAGCGTTCTGCCACGGATACTTTTAAGAAAATGGGCAGTCGATTCACAAGTGCTGCGTGTGCGAAATCAAGTTGCGCGTATACATGTACTGTCGCTGGAAAATGAAAGAGAAATGCGGGAAGGGCGAGCGGAGGAAATATAGGACCCCGCGCTGTGTCGCAACCAAAAGCCTCGCGCAGTGGAACTTACCGTGAGTAACACGGTCCGGAAAGCTGTCAGCCATTTTCATAAGCTCAAGAAACTTCGCCAAGTCGAAAGGAGGTCGCAGCGGGAAGAAGGCAAAAGGTGGAAAAGCCAGCGGCTCGTGCATGCGAACCTGTCGCACAATGGCGTCCTAGAAGGGGCAAAACCGCAATTTCGGAAATTCACCGCGCTGAATCTCACGAGCGCTGCTGGACGCGCAAGAAAACGCTATTAATTAATAGCTAACGGGATATTTTGAGGAGCCACTTCCGCGTCGCTTTGCGCGCGTCATGCACACATGAGGGTGGGAAGGAGGGAGGGGAAGGGGGAGGAAAGAGAGAGGGGGGGGAGGAAATTTAATGCAGTAATTAATAACGAAAACAGGAATCTCATTAAAGCACGGGGGAGTATTCATTTAGATTCGCATTCGTTTTATTTTCGGGCGAGAGCAAGCTGCTTTCGAGGGTGCTTCAAAGCGGCAAAGGCGGGGCCGGAACAGTTACAAAAAGAGATTACCAGCTTTTTAATTTTCGAGATCAGTGGTGCGTTTCTCAAAAGATAGCGCACGGCTTTCTTGTATCGAGATAAAAGGTATTAAATCCTATTAAATTTTATAAAACGCTTCATAGCGCAGTCCGGCGCGATGAAAGCAAATCGAGCAAGCGTAAAAACTCCGGATTAATATTAATTTTGTATCTCTAACGGCCGGTGGATTTTCTTCATAATTGTACCAAGGTTTTAGGTTACTCGCAGTGTTTACGTCCTGGTCGTTTGTACGAATTCTCATGGATAATTAATCGACGGAACTCACGATACCAACGGACACATCTCTAACGATGAAAATTTCCAGGTGTAAAATACCGTGAAACATTATAAAACACTTTGTAACATGCCACGGCGAAATAAGGGCTTTTAAATTAAGCCAGCACATAAGAGCTGGATTACTGTTAACGTCCTTGGATTTGCATTGAAATCGTCCAACGAATTAAAATCATTCCCCATCTCCCGCGGTCCGCGGGGAGTTTCGATTATATCGCATACTCCAGATAATCACCACGCTAAACGATCTCTACCAACAACTGCGTACAGAGAAATAAACAAAGCACTGTCAATAGAATGGGTCAGTAATAAGAAGCGCAGCGTAAGAACTTTTATTGCCGAATGAATGGAGAGCAACAGGACGATAAAAGTTTACGAGTCTGACGGATCCGTCATTAATCCTCGGCTTACAGATATACATGGATACACATATATACGCCGTTTTATCGCGGCAAAGCGGACTTTAGAGTCGGGATACGCGTTTAAATAAATAACTCGCGCGGTTCGACATATTCGATGTAAAAAGTACGATAAATCAGTCGGCTTAATGCCCGGGCGCCTCGAAGCAGTCTGGAAGTTTCAATGAGACGATCGACAGCACTCCTGAAAGCACTTCCGAAAGCGGATTTAAAAGCCGATTTTTACCGATCTTTTCATTTACACTTCACGCCCCGTCCGGAGCAACCGACTTTCCGAGATTTCGTTTCCGATCTTCTCGCCGATGGTCGTAAATAATCTATGAGCGCCATAATTCCGCCCGATCCGGGGACCTCGTTTAATCTCATAAAGTGTCACTTTAATCTCGCCCCGAAAAAAAAAAAGGAAGAAAGGTTGGCACGAAGGGGGGAAGAATTATAAAACTCGCACCACGAAGGCGGGCACGACAAAAAAATGGACGAAACTTCGGCTGATTCGCGGAAGGAGCGTAATTCGGCCGAGAGCAAAGTTCGCTGAAGATGATTCCAAGTTCCGTGAGAGGATGAGCCTCGAATAACTCGTGTACTTAGGTGTTTCCCCACGTTCGAGTATTCTCCGATCGCAAAGTTCATCGTGAACGGCGTTACCGTGGTTTTTGCATGTTTACGACATCAGACTGACGTGAGATACGACGAAGTTACGCGCGCGCATCGCTACGACGTTGCGTTTCTTCGACGGAAGGATGGAAATCATTGTTGGAAATTTGCGTCTTGTGTTTGTACAGGTCTCATCGAGGCGCATAGAGAAGGTAAAATCGCGAGTCTAATCGGAGTGGAGGGCGGTCACTCCCTGGGAAATTCTCTGGGTGTCCTCAGGACGTTTTATGGCCTGGGAGCGCGATATCTCACCCTGACACACGCGTGCGATACCTCCTGGTGAGTATGAGTTGTGAGTGTACGAGATTCTCGTTTGAGAATAATTAAATCGTTCATAACCTACAAGAGAAAAACGTTATTCCCTCCTCCAAGGCGCCGTAACTTATCTTGGGACGCGCGCGATTTATTAAACGACATTTTTACGCCGCTTGGTAAATCATGCCTGTTCAGGAATATGGACATCGCTGAGACGTCGCTCTTTCTCATTCACGAAATCGAGATTCTCTTTTTCTCGGGG